CGTTATTGGCTTCAAGTTATTCACTAACATTTAAAATCCCTATTGATTTGCTCATTTGAAAAAACAGTTCACTGTTTCATTTTTCTGAGTGTCAATTTAGGTTTACAGGTCCATTTACAATGAGTTTTCCAGCCAAAAATGTAAACATTGTATTCTTAGTGTCAAGGATTGTTAATGCAGTTCATTCCTATCAACTGAATTTGGAAAATATTTAGAGTTTAAAACAGTCAGCAATTTATAACAGACATTTTTCTTAGAGTTAAAAGGATATAAAAAAGTTACTATTTAATCATTGTCTCTGCGTGCCCACATGTATTATCTGTGTAATAAATTTGATTGTATCCTCACATTCAGAAACACCTGACCTTTAAAAAAGTAATGTTAGCAATGCTTTGAAAACCTAGATATTTTACAAATCAGAGTGTAAACCCTACCTCTAACTCCTCCCTAATATAATGCATTATTGAAATTTGTTAGACTGTGGTTAGACGACAGATTAAGTGAATTTTATTTACTTAGTACACATTAACCAAAGTTAGACTAAGCAGAAATTTGAAAAATACTGCAATGTGATTGGACAAAAAATAATGTTGATCATTAAGTGTAATTGTACGTGTTATAAATTGAAAATCAAATGTATTTCTAAATACACTTGACTTAAATTGACTGAAGGTTTACATCACATTACGTGATCCTATGAATTATTGTTGCACTTGCTTTGACATTTACATGACATTTGATAGAGCTGTGAAAATTTCTCTAAACATTTTGTGACATTACCACGAAAAAAGCTGCTTGCTTATACTTTACAAAATTCATTTGAAACGGGTTTTTTTTCATATAAAACAACGGAGTTTTCTCATGTCCTTAACATATTCTCTTTACGTAGATTCAAACAATTTGAAGTTTTAATTATTTATGATTCAAAGTCTTCAAAAACCAAACACACTTTTTGACATTGATAGACTGTTGGTTTTGTGTCGTTCTATCAATAATATACTGTTAAATTTACTCCAACCAACGGACTTCCGGCGAGTGAAAAAAGATTGTAATGGTACCCCCCCCCCCCCTTCGCACTAAACATCTCACATGATACAACCTTTAAAAACATATAATGACTTAATTAATGTTTAGCATCTAAAAATAATTTAATAAGATATGTACATTTAATTAGTAACACATGTATTAGTAAACATGTTTATTATTAATTTCAAACCGTTTGTTGCGCATGTACATTGAGTAAGTACAGTCTGCCCTGAATAAAGTGAATTATAGTACATTTGTAACTATATGAATGATTGCAATTAATACGACAAACTGTCATCCAGTTAAAAGACATCAAAAATAAGCTTCTTATAGGATAGAATCAAACCGAACGTTTGATATAAACGTCCGATGTTATTACAGACCAATTTGTTTGGATAGTGAAATAAAAAAGCCGATTTTCTTTCAGGAGTTTTTATTCCTATGCGGAATACTTGACATGGTAAAATTGATTCTATATTAGGAGCGGATCTGAATCAATATTACAAGGCAGAATGCTGCTGTGTTTATAGTCGGCAGATAAATTGTTTTGAGCTGTTTTGTGGTAATAGTAACTTGTAATTGGGATGCAACATTATATACTTTATTTTCGATGCGTGTTTAATGAGGGACCGTTTTTTAAGTAACAAGAAATATATTACATACATTCGTATGTAATATAGGTACGATTGCATACTACTTTTTGTGAAGACTTTATGTTTGCTGAATTAAAGGTGTAATGTAAAATGAACAAACATGTCATGAGATATTGTTTATCTTTAAACAGTTTCATGGAATGTAATTAATGTATCACCATATTAAAGTTGCATGCCTTAAGAGAAAAATGATGTCAAAAATATGAAAAGAAAATTCACGGACAATTGACTGCTTTGAAGCATAATCACAAAATAAAATTACAGGAAATTAAAAACCTTTTTAATACACTTAAGGTAGAATTTCATTGTAAATCATAGTCAAAGATGTGAGATATGATTATTTATTCATATTAACCTCATTATTGGTTATATATTGATAAAAAAACCCCGAAAGACACAGTTTGTAAATATTTATTACAATAAATTTGAAAAAGGTATACGCGCCGAGGTTAGCTATAATTAAAATTCCCGCGCTAAGTCGCGGTGGTGCTTGGGATAATCACTTGATACTGTAAATGGCAGCCATTTTACGATACGAATCCTCGAAAAGTTTATTCTGCCGAAAAGATATGAAAAAATACTTGCAATTCAAAGTTTGTTGGCTATATAAAGATTATCGATTTACTCTTTTACACTTTTTCTCTGCCTGAGTATAATAATATTGACGTGTTTTCATTGGTTTAAACCATCACGTTACCAATACACATGTAGGTGTGAACTTATTTCGTGTTCATTAAAATTATTCCGTTAATATACATATAACAAACTTATTTGCAAATGAATTGATAAAACAACAACCCCAGAAGCATTCAAGATAATAACAATCATTGGAAAAAATAAATGCATATAAATTGTAAATTTGTGTATGACAACTCAACCCCCTAAACAAAACATAATAGACTCAACCAAAACAAGCGCCTGCTTCTTCACCTAACTATGTAGTTGCATGACCATGATTAGCAATTTAGCAAACCAAATCTAAGAGATTACCTATTGTAAAAATAATACTATGACCACAGCAGATTTCGTACAGAAAAGATCCGTGTGATTTATGTTCATATTCGAAAAGCGTGAAAAAATGTTGAAAAAAGTGACTTTTTTCTGTTTTATGTTAGCTACTGAAGAATTACGCTTTCAGTTTGTTTTTCAAAACTGTTTGAACGATCCTCATACAGGACTAACAGGTAATAACAAAATGCACTACAAATTGTATGCCTTAGAAATTGGAAATAAATAGTAATTTTTGAGCCACGCACCAGCTGATATTTAGAAGCACAGGATAAAATTCAGTTGTTTTTTTATGTGATAAAATGTACAAGCTGAAATTAAATTTATGGTTACCATCACAAAACGTAAATCCATTGATCTAAGCTGTATTGGGGCTTCCTATACGTTTTCTTTTAAAATTTGATAAAACGTATTTTTTATTTTATTCTGTTTCTTTTTTGCCAATATGTCAGAATATCTAGGTCATTAAAAGCTAGAAAAAAGTATATTAGATATAGTATGAAAAAGTAATGTTTGATAATTTTGATTTATTTTGATATTCAAAGTACATTATATATGAAAAGAAAACGCAATTACAAAAATGTGCAATAATAACAAATAGGTAGCTAAGAACACAATCTACAGTTTTAAAGTTGTCAAAACAAACTAGAAAAAAGAGTAACATGTGTGAAGCCATTTTTACTTTCATTATCTATTAAAGAGGAGTTTAAAATTGAAAGTTACAAGTTTACTTTTTAATCTTTTTAGACAGTCTGTATGAGGTTCTCTTATTATCTAAAGCTGTCTAATGAGTGAAGCATACTCCCATCTCTATGACACAAGGTATTGAGAAGTACAATTTCTTATTACATTTTTATCTAAAAAGAAAAATATTTTAGGATTTTTAGTAATGACGACAAGGGTTCAGTGTATCGCCTTGTTGAGATGAATATTAGAGCCAAGTTTAAACAAAATCCTTCGAGAGGTTTATGGAATTCTTGCTGTCGTTGGTATAGGTCTGTCAAAACTCGAACATAAAATTGAACCCGGTTTTAAACACTAAACAATATTGATCGTATATATCGTACATACGACTGGAAACTATGGTGATAATTCACTTGCTGGCGATATAAATGAAGTATTAGTCTTACATATACACATATGTTTACACAGAACAAAACGATTTGAATTGTAATAGAAAAGTTATTATCTAGAAAAACATCAAAGAGATAAGCATGCATAACATCGTCTTAAAAGTATATATAAACTCGTTCCATTAACTCCAAAGTACTATAGTGACTATTTTCCGTTGTTGTACTTTCCTTCTTTCTCTCAAATCTGTCTCTTACTTCTTACCTTCTATTACCCAACCCTTTCAACAACTTTTAACTTTCATTTCCATATCTTTTTCTTTAATTTATCGAACATGTTTAAAAGTTTTTTAAAATCATTTTTCTTGATTAGTTTAAACGTGCTAGTTTTGTGCATTTTCTTACTAACGTGTATTTATGCTAAAGAGCTATGTTTTCCTTTACTTTTTATGTCTATACACATGTACTTTATTATTAAGATCGGTTCGAATAGGACAACAAGATTGAAAATTGCTAATTTTCGTGTACATGTAAAGAAGCAAATTTATAGTGAAATTGTTAAGTATATTTAACACCAAAATGCAAATATAATTGTTACCATTCGGGCCTCGACGCTAACTTTTTTAGTAGGTGGTTAGCCGGACCACTAGATTTGAAATTAAGGTGGTCCTTCCAGGAGTCAGGTGGTCAATTATTATTATATCATTTTACTGCAAAATTAGAAAAAATATGTTTAAAATGGATGACAAAGATGTACCATTAACCTTAAGAAAACAGATATTTTAGATATATATTTTTATCTTATCAGAAATAAAGGAGAGCAAGTTAGTAGGTATTTTATCATAAAGTTATTTGGTTTTTTTATATGTCATTCAAAAATACACAACAGGGCTCTTATTTATATTAACTTTTATATTGAAGTGATTTCTCTCTCAACTCAAGTTAAGGAATAGTGAAACAATTTGTGTCTGTAATTTTCTTATTCAATTTGTTATTCATATATTCATTGCTGATATGTGGTACGACTTTAATTATGATAATTACATGTATCTTTTATAGATTAACATTTTTAATAAAACTAATAAATTATCTTAAAACAAGGAAACAGCTAGAGGATAAAAAAAATAATACTAACGTTATATATAACTATAGTTTAGCTTATTTTTCTCACCGAATTTTTACCTCCCTGTTGCTTGTTGGTTGATATTTATTTTTAACATGAGTTTTTTTAACCTTTTAACTCTGGAGGAAATGGATCTCTATCGTTAAACAGTTAAAATAAAGATACGTAGCAAAGAATTACTAGATGTATTTTTCCAGTTCCTTTTGTTTGCTGCCATTTTTTAGTATATGAAATTTTAAGTTTATCTTATATCCCATACAATATCATAATTACCATCGTCGGATGCCCACGGTTAATTAACATGTAATATAACATTAATGTTACTGGTTCCACCGTAGGTATCCGACGATGCATAATTATTAGCATCATTTGAATGAATTTTGTACCTTAATTGATATCACAAAGTCAAAACTCTTTTAACTTGCATAAACGAAATTTAGCGACTTAAAATGAAAGTTATAGATGACTTAAGAACTTCTTTAACTGATCAGATAATTAATGAACCATATACATGTACATCGGACAAATGATTTTAAAGAAAATATTTATAACATGTTTTTGACCAAATCACCATTCTCCCAAATGAGTCTGCACCAACCAGAAAATTCAAGTGGTCCGACTGACCAGCGGCTTTTAAAATTAGGTGGTCCTTGCCAAAATCAGGTGGTCTCGGACCAACGGACCACCGCTTATGTCGAGGCTTGCCATTTTATACATAATCTTTGAGATAGTGTTTACGAATTGAGTTTCTTAAGAAGCCTTTCCAGTTTCCTACTCAGCCCGTACAGATTATTATCCGTCAATTTTCATGTAAATGAATTGTTTATAAATACAATATTGTTTAAACTAACTGGACACCAAAATATATACAGTATGCATCACATTAACGTAAGCATATTTCGTTGATCATAAAAGATTTGTCATACATGTATAGTTCTTTTAATGAGCATGCATTTCAGGAAGACGGTTAAAATATTAGATTAAATGTGTTGTCTAATCGTTCTACTCCATTTTAAACCTCATGGTATTCTGATAAAACTGCTTTGATTCCTTCGTTTTAATAACAGTTTAATTACTCAGATGCATAGAGTCGCGTCCCTTCTATAGTTTAAAGCAGAAATGAGAGTTAAGTCCCTTTCATACTCTTCAAGCAATTGGAGCACATCTACGACTATTTGAAGTTTGGCGATAAAGTCCGAGAAGATGCAATATTCATTCTTCAAGCAGAAAGTTTTGTTGTGGAATTTGATGTTCCTTCGTTCAAATGTCTTTTGTTTAAGCTGAAAGTTTTGTTCTCCTTATCTTTTCATCTCGGCAAATTCTAAGGTGATAGAAAATCATAACAATGATCTGAAAAATTAAAGAATGAAAATGTTCATCTTAAAGTTAAAATGGTCATTTTAACCGATGGTTTATAAATACATGTAAATTTAATCAAATGAAATATACTTATTTTGTATAGTTCCTATGGCCTTGTCGATCATGTTTATATATATAAAGGAAAAGGGCAAATGCTAGTCCTTTTTGGTTCTTTGGTCATATTAATGCTTATGGTTATGCAAATGAATTTGGAAATTTTCTGCAATAGCTTCATATTGTTAAAAATCTGGAAACAAAGTGATCCCTCGGAAGCATTAATCACAATAAAATTACATAAAAATTGCAGACTCGGTTTGATTGAGTCTGTACATGAGGGATAATGAATAAGTGCAACATCCCTCACGCCCCCCTAGCACCGGCTTGAGCGGTACTCAATTCTTAACACGTATTAGTGCTGGCATAAATGATCCCGAAGGCCCATGAAAATATAACAAACACTGAAGTGAAGTACGGGGCCAATTTTTACAGCTGACACACGGCATTTGACACCTGCTGCTGTGAAGCATAAAAATCTGGAAACAAAGTGATCCCTCGAAAACATTTATCACAACAAAATTACATTAAAATTGCAGACTCGGTTCGATTGAGTCTGTACATGAGGGATAATGAATAAGTGCAACATCCCTCACGTCCCCTAGCACTGGCTTGAGCGGTACTCAATTCTCAACACGTATTAGTGCTGGCATAAATGGTCCCGAAGGACCAGAAAGATATAACAACACTGAAGTGAAGTACTTGTTTGAACCCTAAGTCACCCCGTTTGCACACCATTTGAAGTAAGCAATTTGAAATAACAGCATAATATAGCGTGCGACTTGTTTAAATATGCTTCCACGTGAATTTATACAGACACGTGTGTACATAGGTAAGAAGGCGGGTTGTACCATAAAAGTTTTTGCCTTTTTTATTGATTTGTTTAAACAGTATGTTGCTGTGTTTATGCTGTAGGACATGTGCCCTTTCCGAATGATGCTTCCAGGCGTAAATACGTAATCTAATTCAATACAAACAGGTCTATGATAGCTCTGCATCGCTTACCAGAGTTTATACAAAGACGTCGTTCTCCTGGATACTTGTAGGAAAACACAGCCAGTTAGGTGAAGATGATTTTCATTGTTGTTTTTTTATACATAAATGGTAAAGTCACTTCTGCTTTTCATGACTAACTAAAAATATTTGAACACATTTAGTACATAAAAACATTTTTGTAAAATAACAGGCTTTGGCACGTATAATTAAACAAACAGTTAAAAAAACAAAAACAAAAAACATCAACAGATATTAAGAGTTTCTATTGATTGACATCGGAAGACAAAACACTCCTTGAGGTCATCCAAGAATCATTTCTTTGAAATGCTACCAAAATTAAACATATTCAAATTGGGCAAAATGACAACGTCCTCTAGCAGCAATGCCTTATAAAATCATAATGATATAAAATCTAACAAACAGTGTTTTTATGAGAAGTATCAAAATTATTGTTGTATTATTTTGTTTGAATACGTGTGGACGGACGGTTTGATATTCAAACCGACAACAGACAGCGTATACTCACAAAAAGTAATTCCACTGCTGCACATACGTGGCACATAGCTCCTTTATTCAGTTCATCGAGATATTCAACGGCTTTTGCAATGATCTTCAATGCGGCTGAAAGAATCAAGAAGGTTTTCTAAACATATATCCTATATAGTGGCGAACTAAATTCTAGGATCAAAGAGTTTTTATATATGTTTAAAATTGACAGAAATTTACACTGCTATTTAAACTTGTAAGCAACGTGTTTGCAAAGATCAATTTATTTACTTACTATCATTTATATCAGATTGTTTTTCATCCTACCCACACTGTTATTTTTATAAATTAAAACTGTATCAGGATTGTTCAGCTTTAATATTGAAGGAAGCAGAGCGCAGACATACATAAGACCACCGGGATAGATACAAGAAATGATCGAAGCCTTTTCATACACAATATAGGAGAGCTTAAATCTTTTAATAAACAAACTTGTTGTTCTAACACTCATTTATGAAGCTTATGTTTTATATATATAGTGGAAAATGCCGACTTTTCGTAATTTTATCATTTTTTCCTTTCTTGGGAATGAAAAATAATCGAAGGTTATCAATAGTGATTAATGTGTATAAAAATGAACTTGCTTACATCCTTTTGTATTGAACACTGTAGCCGAAGTTGTGTTTTCATCCTTTTCGCATCTGGTATAAGTCGTCTTTTTGTGTAAGAGAACAACAGTTCCAACATCAATACATACGCTCACACAAGTCAGAAATGCATGCAGCAGGTCTATACCGTGAGTTTTAAATTGTCCTGACAAATTCAACCAAAATTATATTAGTACTGAAAACTATTGGTATGTTAACCCATTACGCGATATACACGCCTTTTAACGCCTTTTTCACCCCCCCCCCCCTTTTTGTTGTCTCAAATGGTGATAAAATGCCTTATTTAGGCCCCCAAGACTTGTTTTTGTTTGAGAAATGTTGTTAAAAAAGTGACCACTTTTTTGGCGCGGCCTTCCAACCAAAAGGTACATCAGGGGGTTGCCAGAAGGGGGATATGCCCCCTTCTGTTTGGGGGGTTTAAAGGGGACTACCGCCCCCCTCGTCGCCAAGAAAATTTTGGACTTGTGAGAGGCTAAAAATGACCCCAGATCGATCATAAGGTAACGTGTAACCAACGCTGAAAAGCATTTGACTTTATCTCAATCTATTGAGACGTTGCAGCACTTTGAAATCAATTTTGATGGAAAAATCAACGCAAAATAGTGATTTTGGGCAATTTTGAGATGTCCCCTCGTTGCCATGGTAACATAAAATTTAAATCTGAGCATGATGTTGCAACATTTGTGCCAAGTTTGATTAGTATTGAAGCAGTTTTTATAGTTTTATAGCAATTTGAACTTGTAACGGGAGACTTTTCAATGAAAACAGCCATTTTTCACAAAATGCTCATGAAGTAATGGGTTAATAGAAACATAATAAGACAATTTTAGCATATTTGTAGAAGATTTAATGTTCCATTTTATTAGACGCGTACACAAATGGACACTCACCATTTCTTAGCGTATGCTACAGTAATTGGCGTGCAAATAGAACCAATCTAAAACATATTCCAAGATGTATTAAAAGGCTAATAGTTTCAGCTCGAAAAATAGGGAGAGCTATTGTAATCATCAAGGCGTCGGCGTCAGTGTCGCTGTTACATTTTGTAACTATACTTCAACTGCGCCATATGAAGTACTTATACTATAACTGCGCCATGTGAAGTAACTATACGTAACTGCGCCATGTGAAATAACTATACTATAACTGCGCCATGTGAAGTAACTATAATATAACTGCTCCATTTGAATGCACTATACTATAACTTCGCCATGTGAAGAAACTATACTATCACTGCGCCATGTGAAGTACAGTAGGGTGAACGTGTCAGTTTACACGCAAAACGCACGTTACACGCTATACGAACGCACGATACACGCTATACGAACGCACGTTATACGCACGCAAAACGAAACGAAATACGCAGACGCACGCAAAACGATATACGCTAAACGAAATACGCTTAACGATACACGCACGCTAAAACGCACGCAAAATGAAAACATTTCTAAACCTTTATTAAAATATCGTGATCATTTTAAGTTTTTAACAACTTTAGCTAGATGTAGATCGTTAAAGCGATAAATTTTGATTATCATGTAGATCTATATGGTAGCTAGAAATGTATTTTAAACGAGTTTATGTAAGAACTGAAATGCACTCGACCTAGCACCGAAATTAATTTTTGTCACAGCCTCAACAAATGATTTTTAGAAATATTTATAAGCTATCATGCGCTAATTAATATCGAAAGTAAAATAGTTAGGGTAGTAACAGCCATTCTCCTATAATTGAAGCACTTTTTAATAATTCCTGTCTCCACTTTTAAAATCGTAGTAAAATGTACAGACGAGCTTAATCCTTTGTTACAAACATTTAAATAAGTACACTGGGATGTTCTCAGCAGCTTAACTTAAATTTTGTAACGTGGATGCTCCTCGTTTTTCATTTTTGTTTTACTGAAAAGCTATAGTAACTGCAAAAAAGCACTGTCGCTTGACCAATTAAAGTTTAAGATTGGTGAAAAAAAACAATCCATTTCTATGTTTTCCAACAAGTTTTTGCCTAAAATCAATACAGTATTGATAATAGATTAAGAATTACATAAGAAGTTCGAGACAGAGACCCTTATTTTCCATGATTTTCTTTAAATGCTGCCGTCGCCGAAATGCAACTATGGTACCGTAACGATTTTAAACTGGAATGTAACGATCTTGAGATGCGTTATATTCTTTTAAATTTGTACTCAAACAATATCAAAAGACTATATTTGGAATAAAATTGATATATTAGACTCCTGCGATGATACATTTTAACACAAACCCGTTTTTATTGTAAATAATTCAAATGTCGCGTTTAAAATGCTATGCCTCCCGTAACGGGCGTATACTTTTTAATATACATTATACCAATCAAATAAAAATTTTAAAATATTGTTTCGTATTTCTTTAAATGAAAAACACCAAAATAAGATGTCTTTTGCACAAAAATGTGATAATTCTGACCCGTAGAAGTCGAATTTCACTATGTTTCCATAACGACTATTTTCCGTAACAAAACGATCATCCGAATTTCGGTACAGTATACGGTTCAATTGACGGTGTGACTTTTTTGCCTATCACCGATCCCAATGATACGTCACTAAGAGGTATGCATGCAACATCTTAATTGACTTTTATGATACAATTAGGCAACTGGAGGTAATTGGCAATCACTGTACTTTATTTTGGCAACCACTGTTTTTGATTTGATAACGATGTTTTCACAATTATGTTACTTGCACGAGAAATTTTACTGATAAAAAATCGATTGCAAGCTTTATTTTCAGCAAACCACAGAGTCAAAAGTAGCAAGTTGATGCTATTTATATTTTTTACCTGTTTGAAACATTTGTTACGGAACATAGTTAATTATTTTGAGATCATAATCTTGATGTCATATATGTACTTTTATCCATAGTTATTTAACAATTTGAAATGAATGATTGGTTTCAAACATGGAACACATATTTCGATGAAAAAGAAGTGCACATATTATCAAATAGTCAAAGGCAATTTGTTACGGAAGCATAGTCTTCTATCATCTTTTTTTCAGCACCAAATAATACATATATTCAGATTGTTTATAAAAACTGTTTCCAGTGTGTTTTTTCATTATAAAGATATATGAGAAATGGTGTCCAATATTAACTGGAAGTCTAACATGATTTGTATTGTGTTGTAAGGTTGCAGTTTTTTCCATTAAACGGAACATATCAAATTTTTGTTAGCGGAACATAAGCATTCATAAATGCTATGTTTGAAAACATGATTTTTTATGTTTTTTACTATTTATAAAATACCAAAATTGTAACATTATGTCACTACATTATCTAAAAGTTTTAGAATTACAATTATCATAAAAAAATAAATATTAATAATGATATTAATGTAATAATGATAAAAATGATGATTGATTATGTAAATTGTTATATTAATAATAATCATGACAAAAATAATTATTTTAATGATGTTCATGTATCAAGGTTAATAAATTTATAATAAGCAACGATTTTCTATTTTAGAATGGTGCTTTTTAAAAACAGAAATACAGGGGAACAAAGCAGAGAGGGGAAAAACAACAAATCATTTAAAAGAGAAAGAAAGCAGAAAAAATTATGTTCCCATTCAAAAAAGAAAAGGCAACTGGTGAAGAAAATGTAGAGGAAACTACATGGAAACGTTATAACATTACACACAAATTTGTGTAAAAATTAAGCAGAAATAAAGCAAATAAAAAGTGAAAAAAAAAAGAATTCTTGTTTATTTTCAGTGAAAAACATAATATTTTATTTTCCATAACATATGTTCCGTAACAGATATCTTGTCCTGCACTACTCACTAAATTAAACTGTTTGATGTGAATTTTTAATTGATACAGTGTTTTATGATTGATGTTGTTTGTGAAGAAAACCACATTTAAATTGTTTAAGTAATTTTAAAGAGTGAAAATATTGAGTTATAAATCCTATGTTTTATAATTTTTCACCTACTGTTCCGTAACAGATCATAAGGTCTGTTTGATGATCATTTGTGAGGCGAAGTTTTTTTTTGGTAACGTTACACCGATTAAAAGTATTATGCTTGATTTGTTTCTGCTTCTATTTTAGATATAATTCGATACTTTTATGACAGTATTGTTTGTTCATTGTATCGAAACAATGTCCAATCTCAAGTTACGAAAATATTTGCTTATACAAGCTTTTCAAATACGAAGTATACAAGTTTCAGAATAAGATATGGCATAAACATACTTTTTTGCTAAAGGCATCCATTGGTCTTCAACTTTACAATAGCAAATATTCTTTTGGATTGTTTAATTTAAAATGTTAGTAACAATACCTCCAAAGTAATTTCCCTATGGTAATAAATATATGTTTCCGTAACAATGTAATTCAGTAACTAAACTTCAAAAAAAGCTTTCAGTATACAAACGGAGCGAATGGTGTGTGTTAAACTTCCACACAATCTGTCCAAGGTATTGAACATTAAAAGCAAATCATAGAAAACGTTGTTTATGAAAGTCAGATTTTTCATTTTTTGTGAACCAAAAGTGCTTCAATTATGGGAGAATGGCTGTAACGTGTTCCTTTTTATGCGCAATCGGATAAAGAACTATCCCTTGCGTTCACTACGTAATCTCTACGTAATAGTCCAACATGGCCGACATTGAAATTGCATTGCAATGTTTCATAAATATACAGTGCTAACAATTAAATTCAGATGGATTTATGAGGCAAATCTATATATTAAGTGAGGCTGCATCATAAACAATCGAACTATATAATCTTGAGTGTGAATTAAAGGAATTAACTATTTTGACAGAAGTCACGAAAACAGATTAAAAACACAGGATTCTACCTAGCTAAAGATACTTCAGCGAACAGGTTTTATAGTATTGCTAGACCTGTTCGCTGAAGCCAACCCCGTATCGAAAGTCAACCAGAACCGTGACATTTTTATGTCATGCTGTAATTCAATAAATTTGCGTGATCTGGACAAAAGCTATTTTAATACAGGTAGTTTGATATATTTGGGACCCTTCAGTCTATATTTTTGAACACAGAAAAAAATGGGGTTAGATTGATGAAATATCGCCTCAAAGTTTATCAGCCGCTTCACATTTCATAAAAATACGCGCCATTGCTGCCCTAATTATCACGTGACCCAGCGAGAAATTTAGGTTCGGATACCTTTGCATGACACGTGGACCCAAATGCTATTTTTTTAATTGAAAAAACATGGCTTTGCAATTATGAATAACGGTGTATTTATTCAATAACAGACATTGTACCAAAAGCATGTTGGATTTATATTGTTTTTGAGTGATGATTCATGAATTATTTGTTTGTTTTTAATATAAAATC